ACCGATTTCCATTCAACAACGTTGTTTAAAAGAAAAGAAGTAAAACAAAAACACTAGTCAGTTTAACGGTTCAACAGTGACCACAATTTAAAAATGATATTAAAAAGGCCGTTTACCGTTGGACGAATTCACTATCATTTGTGTTAGATTCATTCTACAGGTTTTAAACATTCTCTACGTATCCACCAGCTCATAATTGTAAAGACCTATATAAAAAACGTATAGCGGATTAATTGTTTCGTTGAATCGTCATATATTTTAATAAAAGTGCATAAGAATTTATATTATTATTTTATATTATTTTTTTAGAGTGTGGTAATTTCATTTCAAAAGTATACATATTGTCTAAAAAATATAATTATCCAACTATTAATTCTGCTCAATCACAACCGATTAGGAAAAAAGAAGAACGTGGGGGAAATTTTGGAATTCGTGAATATAGTTGTTTGAATGGTATTTGGAATTCATGGAGATTTTTTTTTTCATTTTTTGTGATTTTTAAATGTATGTCCTAAGCCCCATCAATTTTTCAAAACATATTATATATATTAGTTTATATGCTGAGAACTCTATTTTCATTTTCTCAATAAATATATTTTCTACTAATTAAAAGGTTTCTTTTTCCCCCAAAGTATTCCAAGTAAATACGGAATCCATTTTATATTAATTGACTTTAGAATATTTTCGGTTCAAATGGTTGAACAGAAAAATCGGTGATTTGATTTGATCAGCGTCAACCTGCACTATCGTCTTACCACTTGAAAGTTGAAATTAGGGTGGTTCACGGTCCGGTTTTAACTGTAAAAAACCGTCAATTCGGACCGCAGATCGGTTAAATGGTCAGTTAAAAAAGCCTTAAAAAATCTGGTGGTTAATTTTTTTAAAAATCCGGAATAACCGGTCCGGTTAACGGATTACTTTCGGCAAACCGCCGGTTTAACCGGACCGGACCGGACCGGACCGATAAATATTAAAAAACTATAACAAATATATATATATATATACATTAAGTCATTCACTATGGTCGACAAATACAATACATTAACTATTAATGCTTTGCTCTTATTATTTCAGGTGTATAAATTGACTGAAAAATGAATGCTTGATTGAGTTCAGTTTGCATAGTTTAATCTTCATCATTTTTGTATTTTTATGTTTTTTGGACGAAATGTGTATTTTTATGCTTATGGGACGAATTGTGTATTTTTTTATTTCATTATTGTTGTTTTTCTTAATTTTTAGGCCCAAATAATCTCTTTTGGACCCAAAATTGAAAACTAAAAACTAAGCCCAAAATAAAAAAAATAAAAATTAAAGGCCCAAAACAAGGATTTTGGATTTAACCGGTTAACCGCCAAACCGGACCGTCCAATACGGTCCGGATTGTGGTCGGTTAAAAAATAATACCGGTCCGGATATGGACAAGAAAAAAATTAACCGTTAGGTCCGGTTTGGTCATGGTTTGGGCTAAAACCGGACCAATCTGGACCGCGAACACCCCTAGTTGAAACTATGAAATCGCCTCGGTCAAATTTTGTTATGCTGACGAACTTTTTGAAAGGAGTGTTTTCAATTGCAATTTAAATGATAATTTGAGTTTTTTTTTTTTTTTTTTAAATTTGAGGCTTTTTAAAAATTTCAAATTTTTGGAGGAATTTTATTTGGAGGTGAAATTTGAAGTGAGATTTCATTAAAGTTTTTGTTTTTTTAAAATTTCACTAAATATTAAAAAGTCTTAATAAATCCTAGTGTCAAATAAGTTAAATACCTCAAGATTTTTGCAAGACTTTTTTAAATATCAATCGAATATCCCAAGACTTTTAAAAGTTTTAACAAATCAAAATTAAATACACCAAAATTTCTTAAGTTTTAAAAAGTCCTTAAAAATTTCAATTGAATACTTACTCGAAACGTTATTTTTATTTAATTATTTAAATATTTATTTTAGATGCGTTTATTTTTTTAGCTTCATAATCATACGTATTAATTTATGGTATTTTTAGAGCAATAAATTGATTTTGACTGTTATTCAAGTATACTAGAATTTTTAAAATTATAAAATAATTGACTAATTTAAATTTATTTAAAATTTAATAACTTGTTACTTATTATTATTTTATATATATAATATATTAAATTAATCTTTTTGCCTATCTTTTACATCCATATTGATATATAAATATAAAATAATATCTACATTTATGTGTGGTTTTTATTAGAAAATTTAAATATTTAAAACTAGAACTAGTAGTGTCAAACGGGCCGGACCGCTGGCCCGCGATTCAAACGGAGCGAGACAAAATGGCCCAGCATTTCCACGGGTTGGGAAATCCATGGCCCGTGGCCTGCCCTCATTAGCCCGCGGGTTTTTTGGTATTATGCACTCTTATATACTTTTTGGTTTGTTTATCCTTATATTTAGTAGTATATTAATAAACTAGTAAGACTTTATGTGTAATGATGTTAAATATTTGTTATCCAGTTTTTATTTTTATTTTTTAATGAATAGTTATAGAAGTAAAATAAGAAATACTAAATTTAAATAATATAAAATTAACAAATAAATAATAAAAAAACGGGCTGGACCGCGGGCCAGCCCGCCCCAGCCCGCTTTAGACTGCGGGCCAAATGGGGCCAGCCAAATAGGCCCGCGATTGAACGGGCTGGCCAAACAAAGGCCCAAGCCCGTCCATTTAGGCGGACGGACGGGCCAGCCCGCGGGCCATGGCCCGTTTTGACAGTGCTAACTAGAACACAATGGTTGGAATTCTCTTCCTCGATTGGGCTATTTGGATCGGGAAACAAAGGTTAAGGACCCGATCAAACCCGGTCAAAATCTCGTCAACCAAGCCGACCCAGAGCATTGACCCGACGTTTACATAATTTTATTTTTTCTTAAATAAAACTATGTATATATGTGATAGGTCGAAAAATGTGCACGTTTTATATATTTAATAGTGTATTTTTATACACTTAATTTATTTGCACGTTTATATTTTTCGACTTATTTATTATTTGGAGGAATTCATGTACTTTGATATTTTTATAATCTATTTTCAACAATTTGAAGAATATTTGGAGGTGTCAATGGATATGAGGTACTTAAGTTTGAGCATGAAGACCCATAAGTGCAATGAATTAATTCATTATTCACGCAGTCCATCTATAAATTCCTACACACACATCTTTGGGCCATGGAAAATGGTTTTATTTGGGCCCATTTTGAAGTGAATCTAGAAGACTTAATTTGTAAGGGCTTTGAGGATTTAAATTGCTAAGAGGAAATTATTCACTAGCCACGAGGAGTTACACGCATAGGAAATATTTGGAGGACTTTTGATTAGCTGGGGCACTTGAATTAATTTCTAAGGAGCAGCAATACTTATTTCTGGGAGGAATTATTTTTAGGAGAGCATACACGCAGACGGGAAAAAAAAGAGCAGCGGTACTTACACATGTATAGAGAAAGAGGCTACACACGAGGAAGGAAGGAAGCCGCACTCGCAGACGAGGGAGATATTTTTATCTTCTCTCTTTTATCTATCTTTTATTTATTTTTAATAGTATGTTAGTTTAAATTTTTATCCAGTTTTAGGGGATGTTTGAACTCTAACTTTGACTTGTCTATGAATTGAAGGATCTTTATTTTTATTGTTGGTTAATTAAGACGCCGTATTTATTTATGTTGATGAGTTGATTCATGTTATCTGTGTATCGTGTTTATAAGTTATGGTGTTTGATTTGGTTTGGCCAGCTAGGTTGAATATCCATAGTTTAATTGCTAGATTCGAGACTTTAATCCATAATTGTTATTGTCTCGTTTCGTTAGTAGTAAACTAGGGGTCGTGCATCTCTAGGGTAGCGTGAACAAGTTAAATGGTCCGAGCTTTTGCGTCCATTGCTTAGACTGATCTATTTTCTTAGGAATTAATGCTGCTAGTGTATTAAATCTAGAGAGCTTATTCTAGGTTGTCCACTAGTTAGGTTTAGTCGAAGAGCCTATTTCGATTAAATATTCGGTAAGGGAGAATTCGGTTAACAGAGCTTGTTGTTAGCTAGGGTTGGTAATTCATTAACAATCTAGAGAAATCGTTGAAATTAATTAACAGTAGATTTAGATTGGGTGATAACTAAATCGAAAAACTGGACTTCTCTCATTTTATTTGATTTTTATTTTATTTTGTTATTTTTATTTTTTATTTATAAAACCAATCCCCCCACCCTTTATTGCTTTCTTAGTTTTAATTCAATTGATACAAAATTATCACGATTTAGTTCCTACTCCTCGTGGGATCGACCCTTACTTGCCGCTACTACTAGTTAGTAGAGGTTTGTTAAGGAAAAATTATAAATTTAAATTTGCCGCGCGTCAATATGTTTATATGATAAATATTTATCATTAGATACATATTATTAACACTTTAATGTATAAATTTTATACGCAAAAACATTTAATTTTGTTACTTTTATGTATATTTATATGACAAAAATACTTTGTTTGTAATTTTTAAAATTTTAAAATTAATTATCCGGTTTAGCAATTGACCCGATGACCCGACGGTTGAACCGATGACCTGTCCGGGTTGATTACTAGGCTGAGTTTAAAAACTATAGTTGTAATTTTATTTTTTTATTTATTTTTAAACCTGAATCACCGGGTTGGATCGGTTCAATGAATCGGCCCTTAGATATAGCCGGGCCGATTACAGACCCAACATTTGAAGCCCGCCTACTCAGCGGGCTGGGTCGAGTCTTGAACCGGCACGGGCTTTCGCCACGTATATACATGAGAATCAATATTATAGGTACATAATATTGTACATAGGAGTGTACATAACACTCTAATTGAGTGGGATCGACCAAAACTAAAAAATCAAGTAGATCCCACTCCATGTGAGTGTTATGTACACCTCTATATACATTTATTATGTACTTGTAGCATTCTTCGTACATGAGTTACCTTAGGAGGAGAAACTACCAGCGTAAATTACACCACTGCCCTCCAAGCAAAATAGCGCGCGAAAACCCCCTCACAAGGACCTCTGACACTCTCATTTCTCACTTTTCAGTCTCTCGACGGCAGTGTTGGTGGTGCCGCTGCAATCGAACAATGCCGGAGCTTCCGGAGGTAGAGGCCGCGCGTCGGGCTTTGGAGGAGCACTGCGTGGGGAAGAAGATAAAGAGATCAACGGTAGCCGACGATCCCAAAGTCATCGACGGCGTCTCGTCGAGAGCTTTCGAGCAAGCGCTCGTCGGCAAAACTATAGTCGCCGCTCACCGAAAGGGAAAGAACATGTGGCTTCAGCTCGATTCGCCTCCTTTCCCCTCTTTTCAGTTTGGTAAATGCTATGGATAATTCTTTTTCAAAACCCTAAAACTCCGAGCTTTGGTGACCTACCCCTTTGTTGAAGTATTATCGGTGCCTCTATCGTTGTTTATGTTGTTCAATGAATACTGGTTTTATTGTTTGTGAACTGGATTTTTTCAAATTGTGGTGCCTGAGTGCATTTGATGAATTAGGGACTCTATAAGGGCTACCAGTTAACTTGGGTAACTAAATTAACTGTGTATCGCTCAGCTAGTATGAGGTAGTCCTCTTCACAAAATGGAAGCATGGTCATTCTCTACGGTTATCGATTACAAGCAGACTAACTGTGCCACAGTCATAATGAATCTCTTTTTCCTGTGGTTAGTGTGGAAAGATACGAGAACTTTCTCTCATATGATCGGAGCCAATAAGCCAAATACATTTTTCTTAAGCATTTATTGATTAGATCATAATTTTTTCTAGTGCCTTTTAACCATATGTTTGGGATAGCTTTAACCAGAGTGAAATTGCACGCACATGTGCAAAATTAATGGAACAATTTATTGTTATGTAATTGCAAAGTGTTCGCTATTAAGACTTTTTTGTGTACTCTGAAAATATTATGCATCGATTGCTAACAGAGTTTTGATTAGGCTTTCATAGCTCTGATTAGGTCAAGCTGTGTGGTCAAGGGGACTCTAGTGAACATGTTCCTGGATCCATAGAATGGTTAATCTGGTCTAGTGGATGCTCATCCATTGGAGTACGCTAAATCAGAAAAATAGAATGAAATGATCTGTTTTTGTTTTGGCTATGACATGCTTTCCAAAATCATGCTAATTGTGGCGAACTAAAAATTTCGCATAGTTTTTCTTTTCTTGGCAATGATGCCTGCATAGATGTAATGGAAGTAAATACTTATGCTTTTCCTTGCAATATGATGAAAGGATTCAGCTGGTGGATCTTTCGTAAATACTTATGCTTTTCCTTGCAATATGATGAAAGGATTCAGTTGGTGGATCTTTCGAACTTCATCAGACTAACGATTCTCTGGGGTTGATTGTCTACGTTGCTATTTTCTGTGCACTCAGTGATGACTTTGGCTTCATCTTATTTTTATTTTCTGCCTTTTGTCTTTTATAGGAATGGCGGGAGCTGTGTATATCAAGGGAGTTGCAGTCACTAAATACAAGCGGTAAGTGGGGTTGGCTCATTATGACATCATGATATGCTATTATAATTAATTTTTACAGAGGTGTAATTTTTCCATTAATGCTGTGATTGGTTAATTGTTTCTTACTGTACGGAAATTAATTTTTGATATGTTTATGATAGACAAATCCTCAATGATAGAGAAAACCACCCTATGTAATATCCAAAAGTAACATTTGAAAATCAGCATGCAATATTGCATGTCACTGAACTTTCAAGTGCCATATGGGAAGAAGATTGAATTATGATTATAGTTTTACAATGAAAAATGACTGAAAAGGTGAGGTGGTTGGAGTACATTTTGTTAGAATTAGACAACTCGTAAATGTGGTAGCATTATGTAGCCTATAAAAGTTGTTTATTACTTATTATTGTAATCGCATGTCATGACTTCCAGGTCTGCTGTGAAAGATACTGATGAGTGGCCTTCCAAGTATTCCAAATTATTCGTTGAAGTAAGAATTGCATTCCTTGACTCGAGTTGCTACTGCTGGTCTTGGTGACCACAATAATAAAACACATTCTAAGGATTCTAGCAAGTTTATATTGGATCATCAGGAAGTTTATGTACCAGGTCTTGCTTCCAGCAAGCCTAACTTGAACATAAACTGTCACCATTTTTTTAAATGAAAAGTACAAAAATGATAAAAGAAAAGAAAAACAGAATATATGTGCATGTATTGCATTTGTTCCTATGTGCATCTCCGAAGATGTAAGTTTGTGTATTTTTTATGCATTTGTCTTGTCATGTTGCTGGTTTCAGAATTTCGTTTTCCTGGGACGGTGACATACCATTTGGTGTCACTTTCCAGGATATTATTATGGCACACTTGGCACAAACAGCTGGAGTTGTTTCATAAATTTTAGTTTGGAAATCAGACACAAGTAATGCCTTGGGTATATGAACGTTTAAATTATTACATTTCATTTATGGTGCAGCTAGATGATGGTTTAGAATTTTCTTTCACGGACAAGAGGCGGTTTGCAAAAGTTCGTTTGCTTGACAATGTAATGTGAAAGCTCAACTATTCATTCTTCTACAGAGCCTTCGTGGTATTCTTTTTATTCAATCTGGATTTTTCAAGATGCTTTTACGATGATTCTTTTACAGCCTATTTCTATACCCCCAATTTCGGAGCTTGGTCCTGATGCACTGACGGAGCCCATGACAGTAGATGGTTTCTGCAACTCATTGAGCAAGAAGAAAATTGGAATTAAGGCTCTTTTACTTGACCAGGTCTTGATGGTTTCACTGAATCTTGTGTGGGTATTAAAAAACCTCTAGCATATAAATTCGTAATTATCTGTTTATTGTGTTACCCCATGCCTTTTTCCCCGTAAATAAATGCTCTATTGGTATTGATGTTTCAGGAATTGACTCAATTATTCGTCTTGTCCGATGATATCACATTTAAGTTACTGATGCAACTGAATTGAACCTATGCACATTGTCTTGCTTGGTCAAAAATTTTGCTCGAGGATTGTTCCGATTTCGTGCATTCCTACAACAATGTTAATTTATCTTTAGAGTGCACTCATATTTAGAGTTGAAATGTGATATAAGTTCCTTGGAAGTTGCTTATTCATTATTATTATGATTCTTTGTTTTTTTACGGCTCTGCCGAACAAGTTAATTAAGCATGGGTTTCTAGTACGGAGTTGTAGGAGACGAACTTCAGTGTGATGTATCAGATCTATTTAAGTGTTAGCATTTTCCTTCAGTCTGTATTTTTTAAATCACTAGATCATTGTTATTTATGCAGAGCTTTATGTCGGGGATTGGTAATTGGATGGCTGATGAAGTTCTTTATCAAGTTAGTGATTCTTTGTTCTCCGCCCACCATCTTTTGCCTTACTATAAAGATATTACAGTGTAGTTTTACTAGTGTAGGTGCTATTTGGTTCAGTAATTGGATCCCTCCATGGTTTAACATAGGACTCTTTTCTAAACAAGTATCGTGGCAGTGTGCCCGCCCATGATAAACCATGATAAACCGAAAGTGACCTGTGAGACTTGCATTTGTTCGTGCTTCAGATACTTCACTCTAAACAGTACGGGGAATAGAAAACTTTAACAGTGCTGAAGCTGCCACCAATATGGGCAATTTGGAGCTTCATCTTACACATTTGTTTCAGAAACACGTTTTATGCCCTATTATATTTCCTCATCGTGTTCAAAATTGTATATATTGTGATTTTAACAGGCAAGAATCCATCCACTGCAAATTGCTTCCAGCATATCCAAAGAAAGCTGTGCAACCTTGCTCAAGAGCATTAATGAGGTTGGTTTCATGTATAAATGTTTATTAGCTTCGTATCTTTCTTTTAGTTAGGTTTGCATTCGATATGGCTGTTACTGGAGAAGGAACTTTTAGGTTACGGAAATTGCCGTTAGAGTTGATGCTGACAGTCTCCGCTTCCCTGTTGAATGGTTGTTTCATTTTCGCTGGGGCAAGAAGCCGGGACAAGTTAATGGTAAGATGGTTTTAGCCTAGTTGATTGAATGTAACTAATGGTTTATTTTACAGGTAATTGAAAAGTCAATTGAAGTTGGGGCCGACAGTTGTCAGTTCCCAGGCAATTGGATTTTCCATTCTCGGGAAAAGAAGCCTGGCAAGGCTTTTGTAGATGGTTTGGCTCTTGAACTGTGAATTACTCTTTTCTGCGTGCCTTTATTTAGAAAATTGGATTAAGTTGAAAAATTAGCTAGTGCTACCTCAAGCTTAAGAATCAACGGTTGTGCTTGGATGCGAAAATGGTTCTTATTTATCACACTTCGAAAAGAATTTTACCACAAATTTGTAATTATTTTTTTATTTTGTTTTTGTTTGTTTTTTTGAAAATACATTTGTCACTCATCTGCACACTTTTCTCATCACGTATTTACACAATTTTAGAAAAAACCAAATCATTGCAACACAAATTCCCAAAAACTTTTACTATACATATACACTCCAATTCCAATTTCCAAATTATGTATAACTAAACTTATATATCAACTATCATCATTACATTACCCTCTCACAAGCAATTACACTCCCATACGTATTCCACATTATTCTTTTTAAAAAAGAAAGTGAAGGAAATGAAGGCTTGTCCAATCACAACCTAAATATTTCATATTTCTTGATAGAGGACATCTTTCTCTTGTACCTGGCATGTCTCACGTGCATTTGGTTTAAGTTAACACCTAACCGTCAACCTTGCAACATACATGTTGCTGCACAACTTTTTGTTTCCAAATTGGGTTTCCACATTGTCTTTGTAAGATTCCATAAGATCATGCAGGTAGTTGGAAATGTCTGGATAAATTTTTGTAGGTTTGAAAAGTAAATAGAAATTTGATTTCTGCGTTTTAGTTGCAATTTTAACGATTCTTACCCTGTAAACTGGATTTTTCATCTGCTAAATTTTAAATGCTAATGCCATTTTCCATGTTATTAGGGAAGAAAATTGATTTCATCAATGCGGGCGGCAGAGTAAGTCTCTCGACAGGTCCTTTGCATTTCATGTTCTCTCACTTAGCATTATTTCCTTAAAAAATGTTTTCATCTCTTTGCAGACAACTGCATATGTCCCTGATTTGCAAAAGTTAACAGGCAATCAAGCCATGAAAGAGGCAGCCAAACCATCCAAGAGTAAAGGCAACAGTGGTGACGAGTCAGGGGACAAGGATGAGCCTAAGAAACCCAAAGTTGTGAAAGGGAAGAAGAATATTGCTAGTCGAGCCAAGAAAGCCTCTCCAAAGAAAGAGGCCAGTGAAAGCATAGAAGATGATTCCAATGATGAAGATGACAGTGATGCTGCTGCTGCTGTGTCTAGAAAGACATTTCAAGGTGCTAAAAACAATCCTCCTGCTAAAGGCAAGCGTAATGCGAAGAATGGAGGTCAAGGGAGACAGGCGAGGGGGAAAAGTGCTCCCGCAAAGAGAAAGCACGAAGAAAGTGATGATGACCTCAGCAAGTCGAGTGACAATGTTGGTGATGAGAGTGAAGAAGAGACTGAGGGGATGAGGAATGCGAAACAGGCTAAGGCTGATGTGTCGTCCAAGAAAAGGGCTGCATCCAACCGAAGTGCGAAGTCTAAGATAAAATCAAAGTGATGTATTTATCAACTAATATATGCGATCGTTTTGGTTTGCTACATGCTACTTGTTCATGTTTAGGAGATGCCTACTGAAAACCAATGGTTTTTGTGGATTTTATGAAGCTAACCTTTTTCTGTTCTAGGGGATTTTATAAGTAGGCTTAAAATGCTTTGTAGTTCATATTTTGGGTTGGAAAGGCTGCATTGTTTATCTCGTATGGTTCCAGCTATAAGTCCCACCTTCACATATTTGAATTTCAGTATTCATTGCGTATGAGATTGCAGTTAGTATGCATATGAAGTTATGGGGTCGTCCCCTTCAAGGTTCATATGGGAGAGACAAACTCTGCACATTCTCTCTGTGGCTTCCTTTCTTTTTCTTTTTCGCGTTTCTTTCTTCCTTTTTGACGGATCATTTATTATGGATATGACAGACCTAACATTGCAATGGATACATATAATTTTATCGTTCATTTTTGTATAAAAAATAGTCCTGTTTAATTTAATTTTATTTTATTTTATTTTTTTTTCCAGAAAAAGATGAATACAACACATCCACATAACTAAGATAATGATTGTGTATGACGGATAGTTAAAAATCATGTTGGTGGTGAATGCGGAAATTGTGTAATGTGGAAATTATGGGTTGATTTATTTTCTTTATTTTTAATGTTTATTTTATTTTATTTCATTTTTTAAACCCAGAATTGCAGTCGCCACCGTATATTATTTTCCTAGTAAAAAATGTTCAAAATGACGGATGCCTCCAGATGAAGATAACTGGTTTATCTATTTATGATCTATCCCATCTTCACTTTTCGATTAACCAATTTACACTTATAAGATTGTATGTACTGATTGTAAAGTTTGAATTTCCAACATCTTAACAGATACATAAATACATAATTAGCTTTAGAAGCCATTGGTCTACCTTCAAAGAAAAGATCATAGCCGACTTGATCGTTTTTCAGCAGAAATAAGCATTTAGCGCATCAGAAGAATAGTCTCAAGGCATCAACGACTTTTTCTGGCCTGTTGACACCAAAATACGCAGAAGATAAGAGCTGGAAATATTCAAAGATTTGTCTTTATACACGAATAAGTATCGGGTTTTGGTTTACCAGTCCTCCTGTGGCATGTGGCCAGCACCTTCAATCAATTTAAGCTTTATTGAATCGGGATTCCTTTTCCGAAATTCTTCCGCCACTGACTGGGGAAGATATTTATCTGATATTCCCCATGCGACCAATATTGGTTTGTCCCAGCTGAAGTCATAATCGACAGGTAGCAACATGTAAAAGAAAGAGGGAAAACACAGCTTTGTTTTTTGAGAAATTTGTACAAATAGTTAGTGTTTCGAATTTTACTATAGATGAGTAAAAGACAAGTGGCAAGAACATGCATTATGATAGGACTAATTAATGCATCTTTAAAGTAGCTTTGATATTACCTTCCAGATGCAAACCCAGCTGATATTCTGCTATTGATATCCTTGAAGTTGGCTCGTTTTGTAGCCTCAAGAAGAGCTGAAGTACCAGAGAAGATTCATGTCACATAATTATGAAATCCCAAGTATTTTGAATGTCTCTGTACATAGAGGATGATTAACACGATATTTGATGGAACTCAAGAAAACAATTTACTTGACATACAACAGGGAACTATCCTTTTCTCTCTCAAAACCTAAATCCGATGGCGAGAGTTTATTACGCATAAATATTTCAGGCCTACTGCATGAACCATGTATCTTCTGAAAATATCTTTGATTAATTGAAGCAATGGTACCACAAAAATCTCCACAACAGTTATTAATATGTATGAGTTTATTGCAAATCTGATAAAATAACTAACCAAATCCTGGTCCACTGCTGGATAAGTATGGCAAACGATACACATCTGCCTTCTCTAGCTTCAAGACATAGCTGCCATGGAATAGTAACTTTTTTTCTCAGAGAGAGAGAGAGAGAGAGCACAGTAAATCAAGTGGAGGTTTCAAGTAAGAAGAACTAATTGTGCCACTTAAACAATGATTATGGTAGTGCAAAACTCCATAAAGTATGCAGCCCTCATGACTATATTGAGTACACAAAAATCAATACTCAAGAAATTTTGAAAAACAGGGTAGAAATAAATGTTTTTTGTTAATCTGATACGTACGCGCTACCTGCTTCAATGAAACGCTCAGCCATAACTGCATTCTGGCAAGTAAATTCACCAAGAAGAGGTATCCTATAAGAAAATGATTGTAAATTACAAAAAATAAAGATGCCTCTTCACGAAATAGATACACTATTATTAACAAAAAGGAAAACCTGAGTTGTTGAAATAGTCCAGGAAGTGGGGATGAGTTGGTCAATGGGGTATTCAGGATTGCAAGCTTTGTTATTTTGCTTTGATTTTTCAAAGCCCAAGTCATTCCATAGGATCCAACCAGAAATCCCTACCAAAGCAAGATGGAGGATAAATGAATTTAGGTACAAACTAAGATTAAGGCTTGATGATAGTTTCAAAATTGCACTTACAGTAGTATTTTGTCATAAAGCCTCTGGTGTGAAACTAAATATATTTGATCATCAGTGGAATAAGTGAGAGGTTCAAACCTGAACTACAAGAGAAAAAGGAGAATTTATCCTAAGAGTATCCAGTAACTTGTCAAATACTTCGTGGAATTCCTTCTCTGTTGACACATTTTTCAGAAAATTCAGAAGCCTGTCAATAAATCCACATACCACATTCAATTAAATATTTGAAAAACAAAAAGTAAAAACCTGTGTAGTCAAATCCATATCCAGCCTGAGGCTTTTCACTAAACCCAAATCCTATCCAGTCAGGTGCTAAGCAATGAAACCCAGCTTCTGCCATCTAGGGAAGAAATAGAGCCACCGAAATCAATAAACATAAAGACAAAGAAAATTTGTTACTGAATGAACCACAATACTATAATTTAAAGACACGATAGGTCTGAATATTCATTGTGTGTTGTAGTACGAACAAAGACGGTGAAAAAAGAGAAAACTAGAAACACTACACTTAAACAAGTCCACAAAATTTGCATGCAAAAAGTTAACTTGAGTCCAAGATCACCAAACAGACCTGAGACATAACGACCCGGTAACTGTAGGACTGTGTTGGGGCTCCATGGAGAAACACAATGGTTCCACGCCTGCTCTCGGGCGACCCTGCAAAGGGAAGAAACTAAGGTTTGATT